GAGTTTTCACGACACCGATGATCAATATGCAATATACGCTGGCAAGGGCGGATTCAAGAGTATAATTAATTTCGCATCTATCGCCAGGGCGTTAGGCACTCAAACGCAAGCTCAGGAATTACAGTCTGCTAATGTATTGCTCGCGCCCAACCGAAAAAATTATGAAGAAGAACAATCCAGGGAAACGGATATTGGCGAGATTTACCGCCTCCAGATACAGGATATCTCCAAACCTTCTGGGCACTTGACAGCCTCGAGATCCGCGGCAGCACGAACCCCAAATTTTCTGGGCATTGACAGCCTCGAGATCCGCGGCAGCACGATGTCTGTGGTCACAGTGTGGGCAACTACGGATTATATCCTGATTGCTTCACCTTGTGGATAGTCGGGTTGGTCAGCCTCCTGTCCTCCTACCCTATAGTTGCGTCCAACGGACTATCTCAGCAGTCCATCGAGATGTGGGACAATCTGGACAGGAGAAAACGGAAGCGCACATTAGGCGGCGTTATTTGTGGTCTCTACTACATCAGGACGTTGCGTTTTGCCGTCACTGCTCCGTGTGTGCGACAACAAAGTCTTCCACTATAAAGCCCAGAGCACAGTTGCAGCCGATCTCCGTGCAAGGACCGAAAAACCGGGCGGGTGCTGATGATATTGGACCCCTCCGGAGACCGGAAAATGTAACCGTTTCAATGTCGTCATGGTCGACTACTTAATTAAATAATTTGAAGCTGTGCCGGTGAAGCAAAAAGATGCCCGTACGACTGTGTAATTGATAATTTCTGAGTGAGCATCTAGTTGTGGGGTACTAGTCATTCTCCACGCTGATCAGGGCCTAGCCTTTTAGAGCTACCTGCTGCGGGAAATATGTGTATTCTTCAGTATTCGCCGGACAAGGATAAGGCCGTATCATCTGTAGTGGAACGGTCTGACGGAACGCACCAACAGGACCATAGTGAAAATACTAACCATCCTCGTGGAACGTTACGAAGGGGAACGGTGTGATGAACACATTCCGCTATGAATGCTGGCCTATCAAGCAGCTACGCACGAGTCGACATGTTAGACACCGGCATTTTTACAACTCGGCCACGACCTCCGAACACCTTCAGACGCAGACACGTCTGTGGTTCCTGCAGACCTGTTTGGTAGCACCGAATACGCCCAGTCACTCCGAGAACGCCTGTTCGTGGCACCACAAGTCGCCCGTGAAAACATTGGACATGCACAGCAACACCACACACGGACCTATGTATAACGTAGGCCGCTACACCGGCCGAAAGCAGCAACGGATGCGCCCGCATAATTCCATCACATGTGGCACGGACAATTTGTCATCGTTATTAAGAGGAGAGACAAGACCTGTGTCATTCGTGACTCTTCTGAACCGCATTCAGATGTACAGTGTGCACACAACAGTCAGTTAAAGCCCTCCTCTTCACCAAGCTACCCACGTCCTCCTATCTACCAACAGTCAACCGTACCGTTGAGGTTAGTACGTCTTACACAACCCCTCTTTCTGAGCATCGAGGACAGTGCTCATACTCGGGAGGGGGCAGTGTGAAGTAGTTGAAAAACAACTATATCTGCTTGCACGTCTATTACGTGAACTAATGTGTGCCCCCCCTCTCGCATATTACAAGTAACACGGACGAGTCACCACGAGCCCTGCACAGGAATGAGTAGCCCGCTTGTACATCCTCCCTGATTGACATTGACCTAGCCTTGTACCAAGGTGGATGTAGTTGGAGGCCAAACGATCAATAGAGAGTCGCACTGCCGTTCAGTATGTCGCAACATTCCCAATGTAAATCATAAAAAAATATAAACAAACGCAAAATCAAGGGTCCCAGTTAATATAGCCTCCTGGTTATCCGAAAGTTTCAATCCGCTCCAGAAGGGCTAAGGTTAACCTGTGCAATAAACAGCCAATGATACTGACAGTTGTGTCAACCGATTAACAGATCGAATGCCAAAAATCCAACATAGCTGAGTAAATGCAGGTGTTATCTGCATCTAAATACCTCAGGTTCCGGCACGTTACGTTAAGAGTTGGTTTTGTTTTTTATCGTGACAATTTGTGGAAGAATTCTTCCGCTGGCTAATTTATCCGCAGAGGTAAAACTCGTTACCTTTAATTTTCACTCTATTAACTGTGAATAAAAAATCGGTGAAAGTCCACTCCATTTTGTGGCGCACCTACTTTCAGTTATGAGCCAGGTCGTTCTTTATAATAAGCAAGCCAACAGAACCGGCGTAATTGCTCCTTAATAAAATCGCCAGAAAGCCCATGAATAAATCTTAACACGTAGCGTGGTTACACAAAACAGCAAGCACGAGAAAATTTAGCCTTCCCGTCCCCTTTTCCTTCCAACTACCGTACAAAATATCTTGGCGTAAACTGTTAGCATTCAAACCTTTTTCAGAACAATTAAGCGCGTATCTTGGGATCGCCATCTAGAAGCGCAATAATTGGGCCACAGCAGTCCTATAGGAGGGGCGCGCTGCAAACGTCTGCGTAGAAAGTATTCAGCGAACTCCAAACTTGTGGCAAAACTGAGTGTAATTTTAGACCCTTGTACACTTAGAAGCACGCTGACGCAACCGACGCATCTCCGGATTGCAGTTTCGGCATAACCTTTGGGAAAGCAAGCGTCGCACAGACGCAGCATATAACGTACTTGGGGTCATTGTCACCCATTTCCTGACCCAACGAAAAATTCTCAGCAGATATATTCACAAATAACTAACTAGCTTTAAGCCAGTTACAGACGAGCTGGAAGCTGAGATATTAACCGCAAATGTTGGCCTCCAATTCGGATATTTCTGTGCAAAAAACCAAACATACGAAAAATTCGACCCTTTCTTTCTATGGCTCCACTCCTTCCAGTCAGCTTTGCCGATTTCGGACGCTGTTTCTGGTCATAATACCGATAGCCAACAATACAAAGCTGACAACTGCGTACTGTAGCTTCCTGCGTACACCAAGTGAGCCATACTAACCCCGGACGACCTGCAAGTTCACACAAGTCGAAAGCGACTGAGGTCGAATAAATCGCATGAAACCGCGCCTCACCAACAAGCAGTCGAATAGATTCAGATTGAATTCCTCTTCAAAAGCGATATTCATGTGGGTGCCGTCAGTAAAAGTAACCGTTGATGGTGCTTTTTTGATGCCGGAAGTCCTTCAACAACAACCGACGCGGACGTCCAAATGTGCTATTTTACGCGCTGCATGTAGAAGCTGCAATAGCTCCTCACAAATCAGACTTTTTGGCACAAAAGCACCCTACAAACGTAAGACAGTTCTTCGAAAACCAAGGCGGGAAGCGAACAAGTGAGCCACAAAGCAACCACTGGAGTCTTGGACTCGGATTCAGTGTTCAACTAATAGACTTGTTTAACTCTATGGTGACAAACCTCTGCTTCTCAACTTCGGACGCAGCAGTGACAGGGTTGTCCTGCTCAAATTGCCTTAGCCTTTTCGAAAACTTCGCGATATTAAACAGGCCTCTGGCCTTTTTGGGCAACCACAATTGCCCATACGGCGGCATAGCTCACAACTGGTGTCCCTGTGACAGGGATCTCGATTGACATCTACTGCATTTTCATAGCGGATTGAAACGCAGGAACGCAGGTGCGGTTGCTTTATACTAGCATGCGGTCTCGCTTATCACCATTGCCCTGTTTCACGCCACTGAGTAGGGACGACTCATTTCTTTTGCGTGGTGTACAGTTGTTCTTTGAGTCCACGATTTTTTCGCACAATTACGTGAGCACTTCTCTTCCACCTACCGCTTCACACAGATTGATATTGGATGGAAGTCAAGCGAGTTTGTTGTAGTGAATGCTTTGCATCGACTTTGACCTGAATTGTTCAGTAGAACGCTTAGCATCACGATATAAACGCACGCACCAGATACCGAGCAGGCAAACTGGATACGTTTGTTACTTCCTTAAGACACATGGTGGATCAGGCGTTAGTTGGAGCTCCATTTGGGTATAGTGACCATTGTGTGCTGGTGTTTAATTTCACCTACCACTACTTCGGAATTCCGGAACTACATGTATGCGTTCAGAACGTCTACCCGACACACCTAGCAGAAACGGGTAGCTGTCTTGAGGAATTGAAACGGGGACTAGCTTCACTGAAAAGGTTAAACGCGACTATAGTCCTGAAAGTTCTTATGATTGAAGAGATATCAGTACCAAAACCTGCAGCGCGCAGTCGGAGAGACACAAATTCGCATACAAATGCCGTTGTCCTCTGGAAGTATTTCTCAGAAAGATAGATAATCGTGGCGTAGAGGTCGGGGGCATTTTGAAAAGTGCGTAAACTTCGCAAATCAGAAATGCACATGTGGAGGACGCCAAACGTGCAAAACGAACCAAAATTCAAAACCTCGCCCGGAAGAACACAAATTTGCCATCTAAGTACATGAGGCACCGCGGGACAAACAAACCAATCGTCTTTTCCCGTAGGGAGAGAAACTAGGAATCTAGGAATTGCGATTTTCAGACCAACCTGCAAATACCATGTTAAAAAACTACTTGGCGGCTACATGCTCAATAACTCCAATAGCGTGCCGTGCAAGGTGACGGAACGCATTCAGGAGCGGGCGATTTTGAATTGCCTTACGACCTGATGTCTCCAGTCACATATTCATTCCCCCCATGTTATCCTTGCGTGACAAACATACTCCTCTTTATGGACAGCTTAATCCGAGCTAAAGACGAAGAACTCTTAACTGAGGCCGCTTTTGGCATTGCTCAAGGGCACTCGATCGGCTCCCACATGTTCCGCTGCTTCACCATATCGGGTCTCACGGGATTCAAAGAATTATTCTACCTTTGTTTCAATCAGAGTCCCATAGGGAGTTAGTTTATGACTAATTCCGTTGGTGAACCTCGTCAACAACCTTCCAGATGTTCTCACAATCACAACTTTAAATTTGATGGACGATCAAAGGTCTTGAGTTTCATACCCCAGTGCGTATCAAATGGACGCAGACGCTGCAAAGCATTGGTCGTTGTATTGGCTATTTCTCCCTGATGAGAACAGGCGCGTCACCGTGCCCTTCGTTGGAGACTCAGCGAAGGCTTTTTCGTGCATGTCGAGAATGTGTCAAAAGAGAGCGCCAGACAGCGTCTTGCATAGGCCAGGCAAGTTGTCCGTCAAGGACGCGAGAAAGATGCAGCCTTCACTGAGCATATCCAACGAGACGCTAAGAAAATGGTTGCTGTTGGTTATGGACGGCGTCCTGCGGTGTCTTCTCCCTGGACTATCATCGCCTCCGGGGTGTGCTTA